ATCAATAGCGAAGATAACAAAACAAGGAGAGACACTGAAAATACCAACATTGCACAACCCGTATCGCCGCCGCAACAGCTCTGTTTCTTCTTCCTAAGTCAATTTCAGTTGGCCAACCGCCTCCCGTCTCCTGTTCTCTTTACTCGAGCTGGAGTCCATTGAAGGTATTCTTGCTCTGCTGTTCTATTGATTTCTAGTTCCTTCGGTTTGCGGAAAATGATTTCCTTCTGGAAAAGAAATTGGATAAGTTACGGTAATACATTTACAGAAATTGGTATATTCTATGATTCTATCTAATGGTGTGAGATAAAATTGAAAAAGTTGGGTCTCGAGCCTGGTTCGAATCAGGCTCAAATCCTAAGTCAAGCTGCAAGCTTGATCTTGAATTAGCTCAAAAGCTTGAAAGTTAATAGTATACTGATTTATTGTTAAAGTAATATTTGTATTGTTTTTAAACAATTGTAACAGTTAAGTCTTGAATCTTGATAACCAGATTAGATGCCATAACACAGCTAGGATTGTTATTAAGTGAGGATTTTGGGAAATGATGTGAATGCTTAAACAATTACCAGAGGCAACAGCTTTGCTGAATAATTATTTTGCACGTCAGTCTGATCTCAGTTCCTCACTTTTTTTACAAAAATGATGAATATGACCCTGATTTCCTCTGATTATTCAGTCTTGTTTTTAGATTAATAGAAATAATTGTTGCAAGTATTGACTGGATTTATTTTCAATAATGAAGTTTGGGAAATGATGCAGCATTTCAAATTATCAGAAGCAAGAAGCTCTGCTGAATATTTATTTTGCACGTCAGTCTGATCCCAAATTCTGCTCTTTTTCTTTCACCTTTCTTTTTCCCAAGTCCTACATTAATTAATGAATAAAAAACTTGTCTTTGCATGCATTAGCATTGCTTTTTTCTATATCCTTGATCATTTACTGGCAATTTGAGGATGAGATGGATCCATTATTTTTTCCTAAGGTATTTGTGGTTTTAATTTTTTGTGAGATCATTTTGACAGTTAACGTTATGTCAAAAATTGTATGTATGATAACAAACCATCAATTTGTAAGTTTCCTATTTCATACTCTTAATTGTGAACTTGTATTATGGTATATTTATGGTATTAGGGAGGCCTCTTGTAAGTGTATTTTTGTCCATTAATTCATATTCATTCAATTTATTGTTATTGCAAGTTTCTTTGTTAAAGAACAGAGTTAATATTGCTAATACCAAGGAGGTTAATTATCAAACCTAACCATTATGCATAATAACTTATTAGTTGTAAATTAAATTGCTAAAAGATAAAAAGGAAGAGCAATTCTGTAGCAATCAGCCTTCTATCTGATTAAATAGTTTCTTTTCCTGTGTGCTCCCTGCATTCCCATTCAGGACTACAATGTTAGTTGACATAGTGGCGCTGGGGCTTTCTTGTTTAGCAGTTACTGTACTCTGTCTCTGACATTTTACACTGATGTGACGGGATAGTTGTAACTTACACTTCCCCCGGTCAGGTTTGTCAGAGCTGCGTATTGCAATCTTCACCCTTTTTTTTTCTGTCTTGTAATCTTAAGAGATTTAGTTGGAGATAAGTTTTAGTGACAATTGCATTACTGTTTATGTTATGCCAAAAGTATTCTGTAGGTTCAATTACATTACTAATTGAAACTAATGTTACTGATTAAGCCACACACACCCTTTTGCATTTTGCAATGACTTGAGGGTTTTCTTGACCTTCTTTGAATTTTTTGACCCATGCCTCTCTCGTTTGTACTCTTCTACTTTAAATGGCAGAGATGAATTCTGGGGACTTGTATAAGAAGAACTACAGTAACCAGCAGTTAGTGCAATGTAATGTGCAGATCGTCTTTATGGCTTCATACCAAAAGGTAATGATTTTTTTTTTTTTTTGGAACAGTTTTGAGAGATTGAAAGAGAGGGATTTTTGAGACTTAAAATCCTGATTAACTAATCGGTTGAAAAAGAACCACTTGACTCGAGGATGATCCCAAAAAGTAATGATTTTGAGGTAAAAAGAAAGGGAGCTGCTGATGAATAGGGAACAGTGATTTTGGCACAACTTGTAGCTGTTCTGTCACAGTCAACTTTGAAAAACAAGGAAATCTACCCAAATTTTGTTCATGTAAGTCGTGGTGCATAATGCATTGGTTCACTTACATCGATGAAATCTTGAGTACATTGTTAACGAGTAATTTAATTGTTAAGAGTTTAAAATTAAAATTTAAAAATTTTATATTTAAATTTTGAAATAAGTGAAATTTTTTTTAAAAAAAAGATGATGATTATATTTTTTATATAATTTATATAAAAAAAAATAACATTGTTAACTAAAAGAGTTTTGAGCTTAGAATTAGATAAGTTAAGGTCTATTGGTGGGGAAAAAATTCTATTCCAACGTGGTAAACGTATTGAGATGGGTGCAGGCTGCAGGATACTATAGAGATTTAATAAACATGTTTATTTTTGTTTCTTAAAGTAGTAGAAGGAATGGACAAGTTGAACCAACCTTCGAGTTTAATGGTTTATTTTCAAGTGTTAAGTGTTTGTATGTACTTGGTTAAAAGTAAAACTCCCATCATCCACTTAAAAAAAAATCATTCCCTCCCAAATACCTTCATGTTTTAAAAAAAAAAAAAAAGGAGTGGATAAGCTAGATTTATCTGTTATTTTATCTCATTCTGTTCGGCCACTTTTTCAATACACTATGCACGATAATGTGCCTTATTAATTACTCTTTTCCTTTAGTTCATCGAACAATCCAGTTGATTCAGGTATCCACATCACATCATTACTTGAACCTTTATCACTTATGTATCATTTTTTATGAACTTTCTTCTTCAGTGGATCCACCACTCAAACTTCCTAGAAATTGACCTGGGGATGCCTTTTTGATTGCTGGGTTTAATGCAGAGTGCTATTTATGGGAAGCTATTGACTAAGCAAAGTGGTTTCAGCCTTCAGGGTTTCTGATGAGTGGGTTTTATCATCTCATCCACTTTGTTTTATAGGAATTTTGACTATTTGAGTGACCCGGTAATAACTTGGATCGTTTGCTTATTGGTCAGAGCAGGGAGATGAACTTGGTCTGTGTCTTGAGTTGGGTTTGGACCTTGGTATGTATCTTTCTTTGAAGCTTATAACTGGAAGACATAGATTGATGCCAATTGGCAAATATGTATGCAGCCGGCTGGCAAAAACTTAAATTGGCTGCTGAAGAAATAAAGAAAAGGTCATTCATAATTTTTGGAGGAAGCAAACGCAATGCTTATGTGTGATATATGTCATTTAGTTTAGGTTGAATTAAGAGTTGGCAACCACATCTCCAATCCAGAATTGACTGCCAAAATGTACAAAGAAATTTCGGGTTGGCTCATCTAGAATCTGTCAGCTTCGAATTAGATATTTATATACACTCAATGATTGTTCTATGGAAGGAGGATTTCTCTCCCTTTTTTCGAATATTTAAATTTGAGTTTTTTATTTTTAGAAAGTGAGTCTTAGCTTCTGTTTTTTGGTGTAAGAAATATGAATGAGTTTAAAGGAAGTTTGGTTTAATTATAGGGTTAAT